GCCCATATCACTCTCGCGGTTACACCGCCATCTCACACGCAGTTTACACTGCTCATATCACTCTCGTGGTTATACCGCCATCTCACACGCAGTTTATACTGCTCATATCACTCTCGCGGTTACACCGCCCATATCACTCTCGCGGTTACACCGCCATCTCACACGCAGTTTAYACTGCTCATATCACTCTYGCGGTTACACCGCCATCTCACACGCAGTTTATACTGCTCATATCATTCCAAAAACATTCTTTCAAAAACATCTCTTTTTATCCGGACTTGAAGTCCGGTCATAACCATCCGGATTAGATGTCCGGTCAATACCTTTTAAAACTCTTTCCTTTCCATCCGGATTACAAATCCGRACAAACACTTAGAAAATAATTCAACCTTGTCCGGTTTAGTAATCCGCTCAAAACAACACTTTGAAAATATAATATCCTTGTCCGGTTTAAGAATCCGGACACCATATCATTCTCTTTGTCATCCGGTTTAGATGAAACCGATCAATACACATTTTTACCTTTGAGCGGTTTAATATAATCCGGTCAACACACCGTACAACTCTTGACCGGTTTAAAAGATATCCGGTCACCTCTTGGTCGGTTTACAACATAATCCTTTCACTTCTTGTCCGGTTTAAGAGATATCCGGACAAAGCACATCCGGTTTAAATATCCGGATTTCAATCCGGACACCACTTAGCCGGTTTACACAAGAATCATCATAAAATGCATCCAAACTCATAATAATCAGATCTAAATGTTTTTCAATTTGTATGAAAGCAATTCATATTCAAAGCTTTTAATACACTCACCTTTACAAATTGAGAATCAAAGCTGTTGAAACCTTTTTCTTCTTCTTCCTGTGCAGATTCTTCAAATATCCTTTGAAAGAGAATTTCTAAATATGGAAAGTGTGTTGTGTGTGTTTTCTCTTCACAATTTCTATTTACACATAACCACAAGGAAATTGAGAGGCGGTTTAATAGCCGACCCTCTCCCCTTCTTTTCTTTTTTTAAATGCTCACACACACACAAATCACATACATACATATATCATATATATATATATATATATTTAATTAATTAAATATATATATATATATATATATATAACCAAAATAATAACCAGACTATTACATTGATCCCAAAGGATGATCAGTCCATTCAGGCATGAGTGAGGAAAGGGGTGTGAACACAACACAACAATCCTCTCCGTGGATTTAACCACGACCACAATTTATTATCCGATAGCGGTTCCTAGGATCGATTCATACACCCTTTATTCGACCGGTACATAATCAAGTCCACCTTTAAGGACTATAAAAATGAGAACGTCATGATCGTTTTAGCCACCATGGAAACATCTCAATACCCGGTGCTCTGATTATTGAGTCTATAGTAAAATATTTTACAAATGAAGCAATCAAACAAGTCAAGTGATCAAAATGATCCATGTTCCAAATAAGAATATACATCATATTTCGAAAGAAAACAAAAGTTCAATAACAATTGATAAGCACAATGAGAATTTTGAACCAATATATTCGGATTAGGAAGCCTTATACAAATGGCTATCCCCATGTCAAGTGAGATATGAAATCCGTACCTTAACCGAATTTGACAATTAACGCATGATCAAGTTTGATTTGTCCGCGTGCCTAACGAATGCATAAACGGATTACTATTTACAAAGCATAAAAATCGTAACATAATTATTCTAATAAAATTACTTAGGTATTAATGTACTTAAACAACGTATACTTCAAGAAGGACAGCCATATACAAATTGAAAACTCAAACGTAAAACTTAGTCTTATTCTCTTTCGATCCAACCGCTTCCGTCCCTCTTATTTCTAAGCATTTTTACCTACTTAGAAACCAATTCAGATTATATTGTCTAAATGAAAGTTGTAGGTTGGTAATATACGAATCTATTGGTTTTAAAATCATCTCATTTGGATCATCCATCTATTTTATATGAATTTTATAAAACTGTAAATTAATCCCGAATATAGTGTAAACAGCCCTGAAAACACACTGTTTCGAGCCACTTAGAGTCATAACTGGATTTTCGACCCTTCATGAAAGTTGTAGTATACAGTAAGATCTTTGTAACTGCAAAATACGAGTGTATTATGACTTACGTTTTGTGAGTTATACACTGTCAAAGTACGGAAGTTGCATTGTCGGTAAAATTCGATTCCGCAATTCCTGACTAACTTTTATGATCCAACTTCTATGATTCGCTACATTTACATGTTATAAACATACTAAAGATACTAAACAGTAAAACAAGTCCAATGGTCGCTAACCTAAGCTTAATCATGCATTTTTACTCTTTTCGATATTTAACCGAATAATTGGTGTACGGTTAAACATATACACACAATCTAACTATATTGAAACTATAATATACCCTTTTAATTTCTATATCAATTTAACCAATCCTAGCATTCTAAACATGAAATATATCATAATTTTAACAATATCAATCCGTAAACTTAGACATAAACTTAATTTATAAACCGGTCTCAAGAACCCTGACGTAAACACCATAATAAAAAATAATAAAATTTATACCTTTAAGAAGGGTTGTGAAAATGGATTCTGAATATATATTCGTTACCTCCATTCCTTTAATAACTTAACGTGAAATTTATAAAGAATATGAGAGTTTTAGAGAGAGCTAGAATTGAGAGAAAAGAGTCGGTGATGAAACCGTCCTCTTTCATGTATGTATATATATATATTTTTTTCTTTTTTATTTAATTATTAAACCTATATTAACATAAAATTAAAAATCTAGACTTGAATGGTTAAAACTCTCAATATAGGTTTAAAATCAAAAAATTGAGAGTTTTAACCATTCAAGTCTAGATTTTTAATTTTATGTCAATATAGGTTTAAACTCAATTTTTGACATAAAACTCGTCTGAGGTATAAGTTGGTTAAACATAGAATACAAATATGTTATACACAATTCTTCCAAAAATTCATTTAACTCAATTTGTAAGAGTTAATGGAATCCGAATATTATAAATTTGATATTAATATCGATTTATTTCTTTCAAATTTTTATGCTATCTTCAAATTTAAATTTCATCCAAAAATAAAAACGTTATCGATTTCTCAAAATCACATAAAATCGTACTATATCGATAGAGACAGAATAAAAACTAAACACTAAAATGAAGATTTATCTCGCTGTATTGCACGAGTACCCTTCTAATATATTATAAGACTTTTGACACAAACTCTTAAAAACCATTTTTATGCATGAAGTACTGTTTATTAATGCATATTACTTAAAATTCAAGATTACAAGTAAAATATACATAGATACAACTTATTAAAACTCTATTTTTTAATTTGTTTGATTAACTGTAGATA